GAAATAGTTCTTCTACCGGTATTTTCTGTTTTCCCGTTCCAGTATTTTCACTTTTCCCGGCGTGAACGTGTTAAAAAAAAATCAAAATTAAATTTCTTTAGAACTAAGTAATGGGAACTTCCTCTTATAAAGAGACGTTTTTATCTTAGGATATCAATTTTTCTTAAAAAAAAGTTTTTTCTTTCCCAAAAAGTGGGAAAATAGTGAAACTTCATCTGCATTTAAAACAATCAAGGGACGATTGATAAAAAAAAATTATATTTTTGCGAATATATTGAAAAACTATCCTAAATATCCCCACTTCCTGACGAGATTTATCAGACCTTTGGTCGAATAGGGAAAAATCTCTTGAGAATACATTACTATCCTCGGAAGATACCTTTCAAATTAAATTTGAAAAATGAATTCTTATTTTTTTCTTCAGTGACAGGGACAGACAGGATTTCAAGATCCCATTTCCTTTTAAAAGAGGGAACAAAAAATAAAACTAATGATCTGTCGGGCTTCCGTTTTGAAAGGGTGAATCGTTATATTCCGATCTATCTCTTCACTTAACTCAATACTGGAAGTAAGTTCCGGTTATTTTTTGATTCCCTCCCCTCTTTGACCCCCCCTCAATTTATTATACTATTATATGGAAAATGCGAAACACAATAGGGCTTTTGTAAAGTTTGCACAATGTGTTATAGGTAAGGAGTTGAACTGATGAAAATGAATTTCTGATGGATCTTCGAGTAATGTGAGGTATCAAAGATCTGTCAACAATCTGCTTTACTGTTCGTTATATTTTGTTGCATCTCTTCGCATGAAAATGTCGAAGTTGACTTCGTGAGGATACAAATTCATCGAGAAATGTAAAGTATCAAAGATCTGTCAATGATCTGCTTTACTAATCGTTATATCTGTCCTATCTCTTCGCATGAGTATGTCGAAAATTATTTAGTGAGGAAACAAATTCATCGAGTAAAATTTTATATTTAAAGGATTAGTAAAGTTTTTGTTCTTGGATTTATGAATTTTATTTCTTGGATTTATAAATTTAATTTAAAATGATTTTGATCAACACTGCATCAAAGTAAATTATACATACATAAAAGAACGTTATAGAGATGTGCGTTTAAGTTCCTACTAACTAAATAAATATAATTCTGCATATGACTGTCACTCAATTTTATTTTACTATCACTTGGGAAAATCATCCCCGAAAAGATTAAATGTTGGCAGCTATGCAATTTCCTTGTTCCAGCTCGCTCGCGGTGAAACTTTTAACACTTTCGTTGCCGATCACGCGACAGAGCGTAACAAATCCCAATTTGTGCCAATAAAACAGCAAGATGTATTTTATCATCCAACTACTTTTGCAAAAAATTTGATGCTTTCTAATGACATTAAGAGATTGTTTATTAAAAGAAACTTAATATGTTACTTAAACTAAAATAGTTGCTAAAAAATTAAAATGCAACTCTGATTTTATTGTTTTAGATTACCTTTCTTCAATGATAGATATAATATCACTAGCTGCACTTGGCTGGCAGTGAACGTGTTAATACAGAGATGACAACTGCTTCGGACACCCCAAAATAATGTTAAAAAAACGGTAAATAACTGCGAAGTAAATTTTCCAAATATTTGACTATTTTTGCTTGCTTTTTAAAATGCGTAGCATGACATAAGAACCACTAAAGGCCTGATTTCTTAGGATAGGACGCCGTCAGCTGGAAATCAGCGCTAACCTCTGATTTGTCCATTTGTGAGTTTGATAGTATACGTCATCGAACGCATACTATCAAACTCACAAATGGACAAATCAGAGGTTACAGAGATGCCAACTTGCTCCGGACAGCAAATATATATTTCAAAGTGGTAGTTTATCAATTGTGATTATTGGTTTAATAAATTCAATTTAGAGGATTTTTATCCACCACTATTTCTGAATAATTCATTCGCTTTTATAATTCACCACTTTATAGTAATTAAGTCATGCTAAATCTTTTAAAAAGCAAGCTAAAATAGTCAAATATTTGCAAAATTTACTTTGTAGTTATTTACCGTTTTTTCAATTATTTTGGCTTGTCCGGAGCAGTTGGCATCTCTGAGGTTAGCGCTGATTTCTAGCTGACGGCGTCCTGTCCTAAGAAACCAGGCTGGATGCTGGATATTGGGGTTATCTCGGTGTTTGGCGCGAAGCGCCACTAACCGATTCATCGATTCTGTTTTGTTGTATTCTGGGAGGTCCTATATATCTTTGAAGTTGTAGTATGTTGTAACAACAAGTCAAGTCCTTAAGGAGTAAATCTTTAGTTTTGAAGGGAAAATCATCTTTGGATTGGGGAGATCCCCTTGAGTAGAGTTGTATGATAAAGTTAATAGTATTTTGATAGTATGCAGTCTGAGCATATAAGAAACCAGGCCTTAAGTGGTGATTTATATAAGCCTACGAATTATTTAGAAATAGTGGCGGATAAAAATCTACAAAATTGAATTTATTGAACCAAGAATCACAATTGATTAACTACCACTTTAAAACATATATTTGCTGTCCGGAGCAAGTTGGCATCTCTGGTTAATGTGTTGGCAAAGTCACCAAAAATACTGAGAGCTTTAATTTTTAATTGTCTACGATCTATAAATATTTTGCAAAAAGGTACTTTTTATATGCAGTTTTGAATAGTTTTTATAAAAATTGAAGGAAATATTCTTTTAAAATTCGAATTTATTACAATATTAGGGTATTACCTTTGCTACCACTTGGAAAATTAACGGAAACTAGGGAATTCCGGAGCAGTTAAAGTACTACATGTGCTACATGTAGTACTTTAACTGTACGTTACCGTGCTACATGTACGTCACCGTAAATGACCGAAATCAGGAGAATGTCAACTTTCACCGGTGAATGTCAAAAATATCCGATTTCAACCCGAAAATTTGTTAAATCCGATTTAATATTAATTTATTCAGTTATATTATTATATTTATTCGATATTTTAATATCTGCTGAGGATAAATTAGGAGAAACATCAGTGTTCGGTTCAATACATACTGGGCAGTGATACTTAACTTTAAAAAAACATCAGTGTTAGGGTATACCAGGCAAATATATTCCGGGAAGTGGCACTGAACCTTAAAAAAACATTGATGTAGGGCATACCGGGTAGTGGCGCTTAACTAGACCTAGTATATATTTCGGACATTTAACAATGCGATTATGTGATTGTCAACAACCACCGATTTCTCTCATTCACAATGACATATTAGTATACTCTTCCGTTTAAACGTAAATGTTTTTTTTTTTTTTCAAAATTTAAATTTAGTAAGTTTTATGATTTAAAACTTTATTTTTAAATTCTTATGTTTATTTCGAATTTTTTTTTCATTTTACCACCATCATTTTTAATGAATTTAAGCAAATGTATGAGACTTTTGAATAGGGCAGTGACGATTTTAATTACTTTTGGGTGATTGTTTTTCTGAGTTAAATACTTATTTTATATGCACATGTTTCTGTTCTAGCATTTTTTTCTGAATTAGTATTTTGCTCATATAGAAAAAAATACAACGCGTTAAATAAAAAAGCAAATTTATTTTGCATCCTAATAATGCTGTCATGATTTATGGTACAGAAATTACAATATAGACAGTGAAAAAAAGAATAGTGACGCGCAAATCATTTCCTTATAAATTTATTTGTGGGTGAACTATCAATGCATCGACGTGTTTTTTAATCTTTTTTTAAATACATCATTCATGGATTGCAGAAACGTTGATAATGTATAACAGATAATTCTAATTCCCACCTGAAAAAAGAATCGAGTTGTCCTGAATTGCCACTCACAAATATTTTGAATACATTTAAATCGATTCATTTGTTTTGTTAATTTTTTCTATTTTGATATTTTTACTATTTTGATACAAATACATAAACGTGAACACATTCTAAAATTAATAAATATAGTAGCTGAATATTGCGCAAGAGGGCAGCACCATAGTTCGTTATAAAACGTGTTATTTTTTTCGAAGATCAAATTCCATAAAAACAGCAATAGAAAACGTTATAAAGTTCTCAGCTTCTGTCTCTTGTAAACCATAACCACCATAAACGTTGTATTAAATGTAATATTTAATCATATAGCTGCCAACTTTTCATCAGAAAAGATTTTACAAAGTGACAGAAAAATTAATTACCGTATTAAGATTCGAAGATTTTTTTAATCAAGCATTTAAATCGTATACGTAACGTATAAAATCTTTTGCAAGTTAATTAATATCTTGTAACTTTTAATAACAGCTGATAAAGGTTTTTTTTTTTTTTTTTTTTTTTTTTTTTTTTAAAAAAAAAAAAAAGAAGGAAATGAGACCAATACTAGTCTTCTCAATTTCCGAAAACTGACCGTCTGGGTTACTAATACTTAAATTTCACAAATACTTTTGATAATTTGTTACAATAAAACATGTTTTTTTTTTTTAAATGAATAAACTTAAAACGACATGATTTTTCCAATAAAACATAATTGCTACTACCACAAGAAATTCCAGATTTAACCAATAGAGAATTACGATGGAGCATTTATTGTATAATCGACCGGATCAGGTCCATTTATAGCGCTGTACAGATAAAATACTTTTTAACTGTCTCATAATAAAAATCTTAACTACTTTAACAGCAAGAAAAATAAAATATTCTAATTTTTCTTAAGTAGTAAAGTAAACAATACGTTTTTTACTCATAAATACATATGTCATCGCATTTTTTAAGATCGAAATATTTATTGGGACAAAATTGTAAAGTTTTTATACATATTTATAGAAATTTTACAATCAGGCCTTGCTGTCAGGCTGACTGTGGGGAGTTTTCGTGGTTTTCCTCCACGAAGGCAATTTCTCCCAATACTTGATCCGGAATTCCCTTGTCTTTGTAAATGATAGTCTTCATAAAAACGATTCTCAAAATCAACATGACTTTTATATTAGGTAGGCAGGTAGGTTCTTTATTTACGCTGCACTAGATCTGCATATTGGGCTATTGGCGACGGTGTGGGATGATCCGAAGACATGCAATCACAATTTTGATCCTCTGCGGAGAGGAATATTTAGAAAGAATGAAATCAAAATAATTATTTTTAAAAAATCAATTTAATTATAGTCAAAAGTAATTGTTCTACTAGTTTTATTATTTAATTCGCCAGCAATTTATTATATCTTTTGTCGAAAGCGAAGCAGCTTGAATCCGTAAATTACGCACGCATCTATGAAATTTTTGTATTTCCAGGAAAAATTTCCTAGTGGTAGAAAAGATAACATATTAGTATTTTAAGAAATAAAATTATTTTAAAATTTTTTACATAAGCATACCTGCCAACGTTTAATCCTTTCGAGGATGGTTTTCCCCAGTGGTAAATTCGAATTTGCATTACAATTCTAGGCAGAAACATATACTGTTTTTGGATAAAACTTATCTGGACAAACACGTCAGTATTTTACATCAATATATATGCTTAAATTTTTTAAAAATAGTGGTGGTCAAAAAGATTTTAAATTAATTTTATAAATGGAAGGAATATATAGAAAGCATACATTTTACTACCACTTTAAATATAGAAATAAAATTTTACGCCAAATGCGTAAAAGTTGGCAGTTATGCATAAGAATAATTTTATTAGTTAGATAAGCGATAAAATAACGATGGGGAACAATATTCTTGTGCTGCTTTAAATTTTTTAACAGATCACCCCCAGAGGTTTGATTTGTTATAGGAACGTGGTGGCCTTTGTGTCCCGACAGATCTAAAGTGCACCAGTCACCATTTACTACACGGCGAGTCTTCGACCGGCGGGGATCGAACCCACGACCTCTTTGACATGGGCACTGTGCCTACCAACTACTATCCCGGCTATTATTCACTTTGAAATATTATTCAAAAATTAGACATTACTCAATGCACTGTTAAGAGATATTTTCTTCAAATACTACTTTGCCAATTGCATAGTTGCCAACTCTTCCGGTTTTCCCGGCAGATATTATTTTTATATTTAAAGTGCTAGCGAAATTCATGTTATTTCACTAAACTTTTTGAATTATAATAATAATTTTAAATCAGTTTGACCACCACAACATATAAATAATTACAACAAATATATAAAACCATATTATTCCTTACGATTGCAAATTTCAACCTAATCAAAAGATATATATATTTGCGAGGAGATTCGGTAATTGTTTTACTACCACTTGGAAAATCCATTCTCGAAAAGAGTGAAAGTTGGCAGGTATGCAACTGCCAAGAAAAGAGGAAATGTTTTAATAATGCATCAAAGTACGAATTGCAACTATCATATTCTGTATATATCTATCCAAATTGTAGTTATAATATCGTGAACATACAAGAAACACATAATGATATTTACTACTGATTCAAAATGTAACTATAATATTCTGTTCACAACTGAATTGTAGATGATATTTTGGATATTGAAATAGAACTTTTGCATTTGATAAAATGGAGGAAAAAAATGCTTACTATTGTCAATTTAATTCTCTAACCCTTCAAATAAGGAGTAAATCTTATCGGAGAGCACATAGTTGGCAGCTACTAGTAAAGTTTCGAAAAAATGAAGCCTCTCACAGACGTTGCATAAGCACATAGTATACTGATGTAAAGAGTACCTATTTTTAAAAAAATATCAGTGCCTAAACTATGTGTACATATTTTCTTATGTGTCTACCAGTATAGAGTTTAAAAATAATGCAACTGCATGATTTCAGATCAAAATTTTATTTACTTTGATAAATAAAATCAGGTGAACACAAGTGTTTTACAGATTTAAATTGAAGAATGAAATAATTGAGTTACCAGCTCTTAAGATTTTGCTAATAGGAACATCGGAACACGCGAGTTTAGGTGGTTATTAAATTTAACTTACGCTTTCTTCCAACATTAGTTGGCACTTGATTTTTTTTCATGGCGAATTAAAAACAACTATTAGGCAATGTTCAATTGTTTATACTAAACTTACTAATAAAAAATGTGGTAGTAAAATAGTTTTGTATTATAATTTAACTTCCTATGTGACTTTTAATGCATAATGGTTACAAAATAAATACGAAAGGAAATGCATGAATTCCGATTTTATTGAAAACAAGTTGCAAATTTACTATTCTTTCGAAATAAATTTAAAATGAATTTTTCAATAAATTCCCTAATTTCCAGCAAAAAGTGGGACTAAGAAATTAAACTGCTACCCTACTTTATAATCATGTTGAGCGCTTCTTGACCAAAAAAGAAACTGGTGGTTAATCCATTTGAATCAATTATTAATGTATCAAAGAAGAAAAAACACATATATTTTTTATTAAATAAGATGCTACGCCTCCTTCTCACCAACCTCTGTAATTGCTTCTCATTCATCATTGTTTTTTTTTTTAACAAGTTCAGGGCTGAATGTTAATATATATCAAGACGGAAAAGAGTAAAAACTGGTAACAAATGAATTTCATTTTTTAGCTTTTTTTCGGGAATAATAAAAATCCATAACTACCAATTATTTTTAACGGATACAATTTTTTTATTGAATTGCATCATCGACAAGAAAAATTTATTTCAGTGAATTGTTTATTGTGGAGAGCAAATTAACTCCTCCCGAATGTTATCTAATATTGAAATAGTTATCCTACCAATATTTTCATTTTTCCGTCTCGCTTTCAGGCCTGAACACGCTGAATGCCAAGCTAATTTTACATGGCTTGCCTGTCTGGCCAAACGGTAAATAACTACAAACTAAATTTGCAAATATTAAACAGATTTTGCTAGTTTTTTTATAAAGGTTTATCATGACATAACTGAAAAAAGTGGTGAATTACAGGGATGCCAACTGCTCCGCTTTCTGCAGAAGTTTTAATAAATTGGTAACTAATTAAATTGTAAAACTTGTAGAATAAGGATAAATATGCCTACTTTTTAAAAGAGTTACCACGAATGTTGTTTAACAAAGTTGCATTTCATAGCATACCTAGAATTTTTGATGTGTAGTGGTGTAAATGATAATTGCAAACATGTATAATTTCAAATTTTAACTGTAAATAATTGGAAACCGTCACGAAAATTTTATTACTATAATGTTATTATTGGTTGGTGTCGTATCCTCTATTGAATCATATTTCATGGTGTGCTAGAATAGTTTTTGCTATTTCTATGGCATTACACGTTCACGCCGGGGAAAAGTGAAAATACTGGTACAGGAAAAGAGAAAATACTGCTAGAAGAACTATTTCAATATTAGATAATATTCGGGAGGAGTTAATTATTTAAAATGAAAAATACTAAACCAAAAATACCTTTTTATAAAGCGCAGCAATTTGGCATCCCTGGCAATAAAGGAATAAGAGGTAAATTATGTAAGCCTAAGAATTGTTTAGAAATAGTGGTGAATAAAAATCTTGAACTAATCTCTAATTACTGACTAGAATCACTAAATAGAATTTATTAAGTCAAGAATCACTAATAATAAACTACCACTTGAAAATATTTATTCGCCGTCTGGAGCTAGTTGGATCTCTGTGGATATAAATAAAACTGTTTTTGTGTGTTCTATATTGCATTAATTTCTTATTAATTAATTAAAAATTATTTTCTAATTAAAAAAATTCTCTCTAATTAATAATTTCCTATCTAATTAAAAATTAAGAATTTACTCATGATCTTGGGTTCACAGGTGACCCCTGTGGCGTTACGGACAAACTCAGTGCCGGTCGCCGATGACCCCCCTGGCATTCAACGTGTTAACTGCTTTTCCTTATATTTTTCAATCCAAATTTTGCAGGTGTAAAAACGACATTATTTCTAAAAGCTTCCGCATGATTTTTCAAATTGTGCCAACAGTTTTGCCTGGTAAAATCTTCCATAAAATTTGCTGCTGTGAGAAAAATTTCTTACATAGAGTTAGTCTAGATGATTTCATATTGTTTTTCCACCCATTTTGTAGCTTTACATACACATTTTTAGAAAAAATATGTTAGAGACAAAGTACTGGTAGTAAGTTCTCTGCTTTGTTTTTTTTTTTATTTTTTTACCCGTTCTTTGAGAGGAATGTAATCTCCCTAAATTCCTCTATAACCTTCACTATTTCTTATAGGTGTATCAGTTTTATCTTTTTTGTTTAACTTTCCATTCAAATGGAATGGTATGATAATCGCAAATATGTATAATTGCAAATTTTAACTGTTTATAATTGGAAACCGTCGCGAAAATTTTATTACTATAATGTTATTATTGGATGATTGGTGTCGTATCCTCTATTGAATCATATTTCATGGTGTGCTTGAATAGTTTTTGTTATTTCTATGGCATTAAATGAATACAAATCCTCTTCTGTGGGGTAGTTTAAGAGGTGAAGGCCTGCAGCGCAGTTAAAAACATGATATAGTGTCAATTCCACATTAAGACAGTTGCCACAGTTTTGATATTTTCAAGTCCCATCTGTAGAAATTTTCATGTTTTTATGATGTTTTGTTCTTAGTCTGATGAGATTAGTGGCTGTCTTCCTATCGATGTCAAGATTAGTTATTTGATCGTGGGCTTTGATTTTTAAAGGGGTGAATAGTCTTGACTTTGCAAAAGTATTTGCATCTGCCAGCGTGGTTGGGATTGTATTTTGATTGAGATCTCTAGAATTTGCAGCCAAGGAATCAGCTATTTCATTGAACTCTAGATTCACAAGTGTTATTATTACTATATGTTATTATTTTTATAATATTCAGATAGAAATGAGATGGTTTTATTATCAGTATTTTAAATTTATCAAAATTTTATACCACGATTAGCATGTCCTTTCGAATTTTTTTCCTTCGAAACCTAAACAGACAATTGTTGTTAACTTTGATCAATTTATCTGTAACCTTAATTTGAAAAAAAAAATATGTAATTTTTTTAAAGATTTACAATTTTGCTCTTTATTTTCCAGGTTTCTACAACAATCTGAAATTGCAGAAGTGGAGCTCTATCTGATTGTTTCATCTATTTTTTCCGTAATTCCTTTTAAACTATTTAATTTCAGCTGATTGTTATTTTGAGGCTTTTCACTGGAGAAAAAAAAAAAGATTACACAATGCTAATCTGTAACATTCTTATCAAATGAAAAAAGGTTGTGAAATTTTATTGTTGTAATTTATCAGATATTTTACTTATCTGCTCTAAGCTATGAAATGTGATTGGTTTATTGCTCAAATAGACTGTGACAGTCAAGTTTTACAGATCTGCTTTTTAACCCGTTGACTTACTAATATTTTTCTCCTTAGGCGATACAATGGCTATTGCGTTTGTTGCTTAAAGAATAGTAGTAGCTAAATATTGATATATGAGTGGAAGCATTTTACAGTTCTTGTCGTTCTTAAACAGCGGTAGACTGTAAGCCAGCAATATAAGTCAATGGTTTAAAACACGATTTGATTTTATAGTATTGTAAAGCAGTGTTTCCCGAACTTTTTCATTTAGTTTCCCAAACAAATTTTACTTTAAAGTAAAGTAGGAAATTTCTTTTATTATGTTAATACTAATTACCTTAAGCTTTCAACTTGGATGTAGGTTTTCGAAAAGGTGGAATTTGAGCTTGTCATATCACATGTTATGAGTTTAAAATAATAATAATAACACTAGAGAGCAAATTTTTTTATTGAATTTATACAAATATTTGATCTCACTAGTTCATGTTGGGGGATTTTAAATCTAAAACTATTTTTCTTCCGAAATTTAAAGATTTTTTTTCAAAATCGTTTTTTAGTTAAGTTTGCTTTTTGCGTGAATGTACAAGTTCATAAAGAACATATTGGTTTATATACATACAGATGCTATTGTCTGTTTCTTTGAAAATAACAAATAAAATCATAAGGCCTTCACAAACTAAAATGTATTATCGTTTTCTTTCTACCACTCCAAACGTAGCAGAGAACTGGGGACTCTTAGTATTCACTGGATTGAATTTTATAAAATCGTGGTTAGGAATATGCTGCTAAATTGCAAACCGATTGCAGATTAGAAATGAATGACGCGGATATATCTAAGATCTGTTCAAAAGTTTCATGCAATAGAAATAAATATTCCCCCGTGTAATTTGCTTAACACGTTCACGCCGGGGTGAGCCACCGGTGGGTCAAGCTAGATTGTCTCATCTTGGCAGCGCACCGGAGTAAAAACTGGTAACAATAAATTTCATTTCTTAGTTTTTTTCCGGGAATAATAAAAATCCATAACTACCAATTGTTTTTAACGGATGCAAAGTTTTATATTGAATTGCTTCTTTATTCGCCGTCTGGAGCTAGTNGGAATAATAAAAATCCATAACTACCAATTGTTTTTAACGGATGCAATTTTTATACTGAATTGCTTCTTCGCCGTTTTTAAATTCCTTACAGTGAATTGTCATTGTTGAGAATAGATTAACTCCTCCCGAATATTATCTAATATTGAAATAGTTCTTCTACCAGTATTCTCTCTTTTCCCGTACCAGTATTTTCACTTTTCCCGGCGTGAACGTGTTAATTTATATGCAAACTTTCTGTAAAATTTAAGGATCTAGTTTTAAAAATTGAACTATAGTTATTCAGAAATTATTATCAAGAACCTTTGGGAAACACTGCAATAAATGTGTGCAAAGTGTAATATATTTATTTAAAGTACAAATTTAACTATGGTGAAAGTCATTTTGTTTTGAATGATTATTTGTAAAATTATGATGTATAAACTATGTTGTATTGATTTTATGTAAATAATATATATATAACCTACATACATGCCAACTTTTCTATGGCATCTTGTGTCAATTTGTACAACTTGTTTAAACCTAAACTGTATGCTAATTACAGAAGCATATAGTAGCAGCCCAGAAAGAAAAGATATTACAATCATATTTCAAATTTTATATGCTTTGATGACAATCATAACAACAATAGTGGTTAAATGTAGACATATTTCGTTGAATAATATGTAAATAAAATAAAAACTAATGATATAAAAACATTTAATCTGCTGATTTTAAGTATTTTAACCAAAATGTGTTATGTCACACTTATTTTATCTCTCCGTTGTCACTTATCTTCATAATTTTGGAACCTCCTCCCACTGCTCCAAGCGTGACATCATATACGTTCGATTTTGACTTATCAATTCATCTTCGCTATATCTATTTTTAACTTGTTCTATTTTGCTGTTAAATTTTGTATGTATTAATTTTATTACCCCGTTTTTTAATGCTTGATTAAAAGCAAATATTGTTGTGAAGATGATATAAAAAATTTTAATTAAAAAGCGTTAATACTTTCCTTTAATGTTTTCTAATAAATGTACTGAAAGAAATACATTTTAGAATGAAATTAAATTGTCATTTTATGATTGGTAATTATTTTAGCTTTTTGATGAACACTGTCCCCTTATGAAGTAAATTTGAAGGGTACACATGATAATATTAATATTTTAAGTGTAAATAGTTTTAAAATCAAAGTTAAAACGGCGTAATAACCTAAGTCATCAAGGTTACTAAGCTATGTAAATAACTTAATAACCTAAGTTAAAACAGCTTAATAATTTAAGTTATCTTAGATATCTAAATATCTTAAAATTATTAAGCTATGTAAATTGCTTAATAACCTAAGTTTAAGTAGGTTATTAAGCTATATAAATAACTTAGTGACCTAAGATTAAATTGATTTGTTATGTGTCGATAATATTTCAAAATACTGACAACAATATTGCTCTTAATTAGAGGATAAATATTGGCCGGGTATTTTCAATACAATATTAATGTATATTGAAATTGTAATTAAATGCTTCTCTGCACATGATTTAAGCTAATGCTTTGCAAATATGAAAGTGCCTTGATTGTATACGTAATTTTGATTGACACGTTCACGCCGGTGTGACCCACCGGTAGGTCACGCTAGATTGTCTCATCTCGGTAGCGCACCGGAGTAAAAACTGGTAACAATAAATTTCATTTTTTAGTTTTTTTCCGGGAATAATAAAAATCAATAGCTACCAATTGTTTTTAACGGATGCAATTTTTATATTGAATATCTTCTTCGCCGTGGTAACTTTCCTTACAGTGAATTGTTATTGTTGAGAATAGATTAACTCCTCCCGAATATTGTCTAATATTGAAATAGTTCTTCTACCAGTATTTTCACTTTTCCGGACGTGAACGTGTTAAAGTGTAAAGCCGAATTACTTTTGTTCTCAGGAGTTGGTAACTATCTTTAAATTTACTATTTTATAAAGAAAAAATGAATGCTTACTGTACATATAAACAGCACAATATATTTTTTTAGATTTTGTAAGGAATATATATTTCTTCACCTAATTTGAGAGACAAGCACAATTCTACTTTTCAAAAGTTTTTAGCAATGCAATTTTTATACGTACCACTTTTTATACTATTATACACATTTCTTTTTTAATATATAGTTAGATACATATTCGTGATATATTTTTAAAAAAAATTTGTTAAACAGTTTGGGCTCAATATTTTGTTGTTAAAAACTGTTGTTTTCCATAATATAATGTTATATTATTAATATTTAAAGAGCGTGACATAATTATTAGCAATTGCTGTGGTTTATGCAAGCGAAGTTGTATTTAAAACTGTATAACTTCATGTTTCGAAATGTGATACGAACTAACATTCCTTAACAAAAATTCTATATGATTCCAAAGTTGTGGTTATTATGTTCTCTGTTTATATGTTGCATGAACAAAAACATATTCTGCGAAAAATGTTTCAAAATATTATGTTTTATTTTTACTGAGAAATTAAATCAATGATAGGTCTCGATTGTCAACTCCATAACATTTAAAAACCTATTTTTGTACAATTTTAATTTAATCAGTGTTTGAATTTCGATGTTGCAGCAGTTTTTTTTCTTCAGTTTTTTTTATTTTTTTTAATCATTTCTTTCGTGTTCATAAAACATTTTTCCCTATTTCATTAACTACATTCTTTTTTCCAACAGAGACAGTCGAGACTAGTAATTACGATTAATCATAGATTTAAAGTATGTAATTTTAATATTCTTCATATACCAGTGAAACTGTAAATTTATTAACTGTAACTGACATTGTTTCTGCTGAGAATTCTATTTTTCAATAAAGGTATTCAAATTCTATGATTTTGTTCTATGTTTTATTAAGTTTACTATTTAATTTTATTCGTCTGTTTTTCTCGTTATTCTACAAATATTTCATTTCAGCGCATTACTGTATGAAATTAAATACAAAGGTGCCGACTTCCTCCTTTTTGAGAAATTTGAAAAGAAATTTTTCAAGTGGTGAAAAAAGTTTTTTAAATATGTGAATTAATGTTTCGTAATTCAGCAAAAACATTAATTTTGCTTACCAGTTCATACAATTAATTAGATCATTTATATAAATTGTCATTACTTACTACGAGTCAAATGCATTAGCAATAATAGTATAAAAAGGGATCAAAATTGATGACATCAACGTCTATATAAAAAATTTAAACCAAACTTTCTATGCTGAAGCAAAAACCTGTACCACCAGCAATTTTAACTCACTCCTAGATATTGAATTAATTGACGACAACACTAAATTTTGCCCAATCACTGCCTTTTTCCTTAGGGATATGACGTTGCCCTAGCACACGAAACACACTCTCGATTTTTGGTGCTAAGCACCACCTCTTCCCCCCATCTCCATTCCACCTCACTACTCCTCATCATCGAATTACTACTACAGATGAATCGGTTAATGCCGCTTCGCGGCAGCGCACCGAGATTTATATGATTTCTACCATTCTACCACTACGAGTCAAACTAGCTTAAAATTTCCATTCTACATGACTTGATGGTTCATGTGAACACAGTGTAGATGATTGCCAATATATCCCGCATGACACAAGTTGATCATGAAATGATTTAGAAACTAAAAACTAATCTTTGATGCCAAATTAGTAGTTTTCCGAGGAATCAAAGTACAAAATTTTGTAGTTTCAATACGCTTTTGGAGAGGTTGAGTTGGTGATAATGAAGAAGTGAAGATACAAAATGATCGTGAAGGAGGAGTTTAAACTAATTCGATGCAAAGTTTGCAGTTTTCTGAGAATTTAAAATCAAAATTTGGAGGTTCGAACACTTTCAGAGACCCACATGTCCGTCAGAGGAAAACTCTAAACGGTAACACTCTTTTCCCCAGGCGATCAGACCCAGGCTAGCACCAATGAAATTAAAAATTTATTGTATTTACGAACATGTGAGATTTGTTGGTCGGGGTCTAGAATCGTCTACCTGAACCCAAAAAGAACACTAAGTTATCTTATAATATCTCTGAATAGTAAAAGTTTTAAATTTAAAGGATCTCCTTCTCGAACGGTAAACGAAATGCTAAGTTGTTTCTGTTAGAAAATCGTGATATTTTTTTATTTAGTTTAAGTTTCCTTTTGTTTAACACGTTGAACGCCACGCTAATTTTACATGGCTTGCCCATCTGGCCACAGTAAATAACTACAAACTAAATTTGCAAATATTAGACGGATTTTGCTATTTTTTTAAAAGGTTTATCATGACATATCTGACAAAAGTGGTGAATTATATAACCCTACGAATTGTTTAAAAATAGTAGTGGATTAAAATCTACTAAATTGAATTTATTAAACCAAGAATCGCAATAATTAAGTAAATTTTGAATAAATTTTTAGCAATTCCAGAAGAGTGTAAATTTTATAGTTCTATATCATGTTATACGCTGTCAGCCAGCTATTTCTCGCGGCCTATGTGAAAGGTCAGTGTCAGCAAGCTGTGGCAGACGCAGCCTAAATGTAATTTCAGTGTCAGCCACCGGTTGTTGACGCGGCCTAAATGTAATTTCAGTGTCAGCCACCGGTGGCTGAAGCGGCCTAAATGTAATTTCAGTGTCAGCCACCGCTGGTTGACGCAGCATAAATGTAATTTCAGTGTCAGCCACCGGTGGTTGACGCAGCCTAAATGTAATTTCAGTGTCAGCCACCGGTGGTTGACGCGGTCTAAATGTAATTTCAGTGTCAGCCACCGGTGGCTGATGCGGCGCTCAACGTGTTAATGATTCATTTTCTAAATATTGTCGGAAACTCAAAGCTACGCTCATTAAAAGTAAAATATATTATCTTGTTCTTTTCAGATAGTTGTTTTATGAACATGGACGTACATTATACAAAATCAAATCCTCCTTGTAAATCAAGAAGCTAATGTTAGTCAGTAAGCGCTGCTAACAGCAGTCAGAAATCTGAAAAATGGGACTGTGCTGTGTGGCGAACAAAGAGGAAAAAAACTTTAGAAAAAAAATCATGGTTAAAGGCGACATGGAGAATAAAATTGTGGAAAAAAAATAATCGCTTCTGATCAAATTAGCAACAATATATTAAGGGATTAATCTTGACCCTGAGGATTACGATTTTCTGAACTCAATAACAAAATACTCGACAATCGATAAGTGAGAGTAAAATTATAGCAGATTTCTACAACTTTCGCTTTTATTAACCCACTTACGTAATATCTTGACGGAAATGAAAAACATATTCATTTTACCCCAAGAAGAAAATTTCGGATGGAGGCTTCTGAGTAATAAATTCCTTGTATACGTTATTAAAAGCGTAACAGGCACTTCTCAGTAAAATGGAAAATATTGGGTATAGAGCTGAAAATATCGTTAAAAACATTGCAATCATAATGGAGTCGATAACACCTGGGAACAAATATTTAAAGGCGTTTATAGAAGTGCTTGATTTTATCTAAATCGAGGTGAAGACTTTAAATCAGAAATTAGTTTAGTTCCGAAAGCTGAACTTTTCAAATGGTATTTATAGTTAAGTTTAATATTTGTCTGAGTGTACAAGTTTAGAAAGAACAAATAGTTTTATACACCTGTACAAAAACATGCCATCTTCATTTTATTTTATAACTGTCGTAGAACAACCGACTCAATTTTGGGTTTGCAATTGTCAATGTTCAACTCAGTAGCCTTGTAATTTGGAGCCCAATCCAGAAGATTACGGAACTCCAGGATTGGGAGAAATTTTGCTTCGGGGAGGACTCTGATGGAACTAGCCTCCTCACGGTTTTTTATAGGTAGTCTGATCAGACCACTATGAAGGGTATCCACTCCTCGAACGAGTCATTTAATACAAAATCTAGCTAAAATAAGAAAGTGGTAACAAATATATGACTAAAATTTTTTTTCATTTATTAATATTATTGGTTTGCCTTATTCACTTGTCAACCACTACAGATTCAACTCTCAAATATATATTTTAATGTAGTGTTGCAAAGATGCCTAATGTGTCTATCTAATGGCAATTAGGCCAATTCTAACTTATGCCTGCCCCGCCATTAACACTCTAAGTGATCACTTAAAAAATAAACTCTCTATGGCAGAAGGGAAGATTATAAGAAGACTCGTCGGCGCCCCTTAATGCATTAGCAATAATAGTATAAAAAGGGATCTTAAAATTGATGACATCAACGTCTACATAAAAAATTTAAACCAAAATTTCTACGATGAAGCAAAAACCTGTACCACCAGCAATTTTAACTCACTACTAGATATTGAATTAATTGACGACCACACTAAATTTAGCCCAATCACTGCCTTTTTCCTTAGGTATATGACGTAGCCCTAGCACACGAAATACACTCTCGATTTTTGGTGCTAAGCACCACCTCTTCCCCCCATCTCCATTCCACCTCACTACTCCTCATCATCGAATTACTACTACAGATGAATCGGTTAATGCCGCTTTGCGGCAGCGCACCGAGATTTATATGATATCTACCATTCTACCAAGATGCCTAATGATTAGGCATAATGATTAGGCCTAATCATTTTGCTTTGTTAAAAAAATATTTTCTAGTGATAGCAAAATTAAAATTATTTTTAATTTTGTTATTTTAAGTAATTTTTCCGATACTACACATCAAAAATTCATAGTATCATATCAAATGTAACTTGATCGCCGTTATCGCCTGGTCACTCTTTTAAAGAGTAAGTGAAATTAACTTTATTTTTCAAGTTTTGCAATACAATGCGCTATTAATTGATTAAAACTTTTACCGAAAGCGGAGCACTTAACATCCCTGGTGTTGGCCATAACTTTAGTTTTAAAATATCGCCGTGACGTAATTTTAAAACAAAATTATCAACATTTATGTGAGTGATTATTCTGGTAAAACAGTTAGTCTCGTTTCTCCCCCAAAAAACTGAAGATTGCAACAAAATTTTTTTTTTTTAATTTCGCAGAAGTAAGAGGGAAAATTTTTTTTTCTTCTTTCTATTTTTTATTTATTCTAAGATAAGAATAAGGATGAATTTAAAAGAATCTAATTTTTTTTTGTTAAGTAAATAAGCTGGGATGGTGTGTAAAAGAAGCTGAGGGAGATGGGTAATTCATAAATTTATAAAGGAAAAAAAGGGGGGAAATGACCACGCCTTTTTGGCACGTTTTCTAACAAGACGTGACGGCGGCGCGCAGCCGCAGAATAGAAATAGGCTCTTAAAAGGTGCAAAAAAAGATGGGTAAAATACCACGCTTATTGAAAAGGAATCATTAGAGGTTGCTTCACAAATTTGCCAAAGAAACTTAACAATCGCCGAAGATGCTTGGATGAAACGTGTTAAACTGTGGTTTCAATTTCTATACATAAGCTCTATTTGAAAGGGTGGGCGAGTAAAGATGTAGCAAGTTGGTTCGTAATTGGACCGTTTTTTTTATAAATCAGGTACCTTTTACAGATGGTTAAAGATGATCAGGTTTAAACCCATTCCGTGAATACTAATTTCAATTTGTATTGGGCAACAATGTATCTTCTTTTCCAATCTTCTTTTTCAATTTGTCTTCACTACGTGTCAGATTTCTGAACTTTTTAGAGCAATTGATAAAAGATTTCGAGAGTAGCTGAGGTATAAACCTTTTTTTTTCTTAGTTTTTTCCCTATATAATTGCTGTTATTTGCATCTTGAATTAGAATTGATAAATTCAAGATAATCGAATTCAAATCCAAGGATATTTTTTACTGACATTAAGGGTCAATAATGACGTATTCCAAATAGCGTTAACATTTAACTAGAAACCTTACTAGTTCTACATTAATTAAATGTTAAAAAGTTAATTGCTTATGAACATAAATAACTATGAACAATAAAATTTTAAAATATTATTAATATTTTTTTAGTTTTGAGTTTTGAAACATTTACTTGTGTATTAGTGGTTTTTTAGTACGATGACCCTATATTTTTATGCAAATACTAATAAAAAGATAAACTTCCTAACTCTTTTTTTTTTTTTTTTCAATTAGGGCATGGTTATTTAGAGAATTCTGTTCTTGTTCCCAATTATTTACAGTCCACTGAAAAACTAATATTTATTTTTAGTATTTTGAGTAAAAACTGATTCCAATAGTCCACTATCATCAGTATCGGATCATGATAACTTTAATGTTGAACTATGTAACTCCTGCAATAATCTGGACCCAAAAAGTGAGAAAAGAATTATTATTAGTAATTTATTTTGTAGCTTGCCTCATGGAAGAGTTAACCCCTTAATGGTTGCATAATTTTGAAGAAAACCGGCCATAAAAGCGCCCATTTTTTATTCAAAAAAATTATATAAAACTAAGTGTATGTACAATATATGTTCTCATTTTTAATTTTGGGGGTAATTTTTAGGTTACATGTTTGATGAGTGCTCTACATACAGTTTTAAATAAACAATCTCTAAACACATGACAATTAGTCTGACGTTGCCATCTAGTGCACAAATTGAGAAATAA